GGGCGGCGAGGGGCCCGCGCCGGGCCGGGGGGGCCGCGGGCTGCAGGGAGCCATGAGGGCGGCGAGCGGCGCCCTGGGCATGGACAGCGCCGGGCGGACCAGGGTGAGCGCGGGGACGGCCGGGGAGGGACCCCCGGCTTCGGCCGCATCCCCGGGACTGCACCCCCGGGGCTCTCCACGCATCCCCGGGCTCAATCCCCGTCCCCGGGGCTGCATCGCCGGCCTCCTCCTGCATCCCTGGGCTCCCCCCGCATCCCCGGCTTCTCCTGCATCCCTGGGCTCCCCCTGCATCCCTCGGCTCCGTCCCCCGGCCTCACCCCCAGCCGCGGAGCAGCACCCCCGGTCCCATCCGGCACCCCGGGGCTCACCCGCGGCCCCGGCCTCACGCCCCACTGCCGGGGCCGCATCCCCGGTGTGTCCCCGCATCCCCGGGCTCCCTCCATCTCCCGTTCGGAGCCGCAGCTGCGATCCCCCGAGGCCGGGGGGTCCCGAGCTGCCCCCGCCGCGGGTCCCGGCTCAGCCCGCGCCTTGGCAGGAGGCCTACGCGGAGTACCTGAGGAGCATCGCCCTCATCGCCCAGGCCCTGCAGGAGGAGGCGGCCGCCACAGGTAGGGCAGGACCCCGCGTCCCCCCGCGGAACCAGGGCGGGGGTGGAAGTCCTGCAGTGCCCTCAACACAGCCACCCCACAGAGAACAGCGAGGGGGTCACCCCGGACACCCCGAAACTGCTGAAGCTGGCGGAGCAGTGCCTGGAGAGGGTCAAATCCATCGCAGCGGCGCTGGGTGAGTCGGGGTGGGGGTCCCGCTTTGGGGAGCCGGGTGCCCCCGCAGGGCCAGGCTGGTGGTGGGGCACAGCCCGCCTGTTCTGCCCCCTCCCCAGGGAAGGCCCAGGTGAAAGCGGCTGCACAGGAGCGGGGCGGGGGCCCTGCGCCTCTCCCCCGGCACCGCCGCGTCTGCTCGGACGAGGGGGGCAAGCTCTCGCCGTTCCTGCCCCCGGAGATCTTCCAGAAGCTGCAGATCGCTGAGGCACAGAGCGCACGGAAGTACGGGGGGCTCGGAGCTGGGACATGGGGACTGTGTCACGGGGCTGGGACAGGGAGTGGTGGAGCATGGGGGCTGATGTGGGCTGGGATACAGGGGCTGGGATGTGGGAAGCTCAAACACAGCGGGTAGGACATGGGGGTTCAAACACGAGGGGATTGGGACACAGGGTCTGGCAAGAACTGTGACACGAGGACTGCTGGTGGCCACATGCCCGCCTGTGGGGTCACGGAGCAGGATGTGGTCCTGGCACATGTCCTGTGGCCTGTGGAGAGTGCTCAGGCTGTTCCTACAGGGAGCTGACCCCGCTGGAGGAGGCCTCCCTGCAGAACCAGAAGCTGAAGGCAGCCTACGAGGCACGGGTGGCACGGCTGAACCCAAACCAGGCTGTGCAGAAAACATCCCTGGCAAGTGGGGGCTGCGGAGGAGCTGGGAGCTGGATAGAACCGGCTGCCAGCAGGGAGAGGGTCCCTGGGGGACCCCTGCTCCCCACTGATGGCCATGGGGCATGGGTGGATGTTCCCAACTCCCCTCCTGCTCCGCAGACGCTGTCCCTGCAGCGGCAGATGATGGAGAACCTGGTGATCGCCAAGGCCCGAGAGGAGACTGTATCCTTCCCAGAGGGATTGCTCCAAGAGCCTCTGCCCTGTCCTGGCTGTCACCGACCCCACGCAGGCCTTTGGGGTCCCAGCTGGGGCATGGAGGAGGGTGAAGGGCAGGGGGTGAGCATGCTGGTGGCTCTGCTCCCTTAACTGTGCCTGGCCCAGCTGCAGCGCAAGATGGAAGAGCGGCGGCTGCGGCTGCAGGAGGCAGCCAACCGGTGAGTGGGGATGTCACTCAGGGACCCTGAGCTCTGGGGACACCCAGCAGTGCCCTCACTGGCCCGGGGTGTCCCCAGGAGGTTCTCCAGCAGCGTGGCACTCACCCCCGAGGAGCAAGAGCAGCGAGCACTCTACGCTGCCATCCTTGAGTATGAGCAGGACAATGTGAGTGTGTGCCAGGGGCTGCTGGCAGGGCTGGGGGCTGTGCCACGGGGCTGGGGGCTGTGCCACGGGGCTGGGGGCTGTGCCAGGGGGCAGGGTGCTGCACCATCCCCATGCCCAGCCCTGGACACTCCCCAGGACTGGCCAAGGCAGTGGAAGGCGCAGCTGAAGCGGAGCCCGGCGGATCTCTCAGTGGTGTCAGGGCTCTTTTCCTGCCTCCTGAGGTACTGCTGAGGTGGGCACGGCCCTGCCAGAGCGAGGGGGCTGCAGCTGCTGCCGGTGCCCCCCACCCACCGCACCCCTCTGCCCACAGCTGCCCCGAGCACCCCATCACGCAGCTGCTGCGGCGGCTGCAGTGCGCGGTGTACGCCCGGCTCTACCCCGCCGTCAGCCGCGGCCCCGCCGACGCCTCCCCTGCCTCCCCCTCGGCTCTGTCCTTCCTGTCGCTGGACGCGGGGGGCTCCTCGCTGCCCGCCGAGCCGGGGGGCCGCCGGCTCCGGGCGTCCCGCAGCCTGCACTGCATGTTCTCGGTGCCCGAGCACGGCCCGGCGCTGCGGCACAGCCAGTCCAGCACCCCCCTGGCCGACAGTGGCGCCCCGGGGCCCGCCGAGCCCCCCGAGCCCCCCCGGGAAAGCTCCTTCGAGGATCTGGAGCGGTTCCTGGCGTCCCCCGAGGGCTGGGCCCCCGCAGAGCCCCCGGCCAGCTGCGGGCAGGACACGGCGCTGCCGGAGCTGCTGAAGGGCGTCGTGAGGGACATCCACAACGCCATCGGTGAGGGACGGCCGAGGGAGCAGGGGGTGGTTGGGGGGCTCTCCTGCACCCCACTTTGACTCGGGGCACAGGGTGGGCAGGATGGGGGTCCCACTGTGGGTAGGGCAGGGGGTCCCAGCGTGCTGTGTGCCTCGCCCTTCCCAGACAGGCTGCTGGCTCTGACTCTGCTGGCCTTCGAGGGGCTCGGCACCGCCGCCGGCAAGGACCAGTGCCTGGCCTGCTTGGAGGAGGCTTTCTTCCCCCCGCTCTGGGCCCCGCTCCTGGCCCTCTACAGGTACCACGACCCGCTTTGGGGGGTCCGAGACCCACTGACCCCTTCCTGGCACCCCCCGTCACCTCCGTGCCCGCAGGACCGTGCAGCAGCCCCGCGAGGCGGCCCTGGCACGCAGCATGGAGCGGCACCGGCACGCCAGCCCCGCCGACATGGGGCTGGCCTCGCGCCTCTTCCCGCCCGGCCCCGGCCGCCCCGCGTACGCCTCGGCCGTGCAGGACCTGCGCCTCATCCCGCTGGAGACCTGTCCCCGCAGGAAGCTGGAGTGCATCGGTGAGCGGCGCGGGGGACACGGGGCGGGGGCCCGGGGGTGGCGGCGGCCCTGACGCCCGCCCTGTGCCGCAGTGCGGGCCCTGCGCGGCATCTGCGAGTGCGCCGAGGAGTACTGCGGCACCCGGGACGCCCGGAGCCTCGCCACGGCCGCCATGTGAGTGCAGGAACGACGGAGCTGGACGGGGAGGGAGGGAGGGCGGCTGTGGGGCCTGCGGCCGGCACGGTGTTGGGGCGCCAGTCCCTGTGGCCACCGTGGCTGACGGTCCCTGTTGTCACAGCGGGGCAGACGACCTGCTGCCCATCCTGTCCTACGTGGTGCTGCAGACGGGGCTGCCCCAGCTGCTCTCCGAGTGTGCGGCCCTGGAGGAGTTCATCCATGAGGGGTACGTGCCGGGCTGTGGGCCATGCAGGCACCCCTGGGCTGGGGACACCAGCGCCCTCCTGGGATGGGGCTGTCGGGACAGGAGGTGGGCTGGAATAGCAGCAGGGCTGAGGGCTGGTGGATGGGATGGTGTCCTGGTCACAGCAGTGTCCCAGCCATGAGGGTGTGGCACAGTGTCCCAGCCATGAGGGTGTGGCACCCATGGTGGTGTCCCGGTGGTGACAGTGCGATGGCTGTGAGCACAGGTACCTGATCGGAGAGGAGGGGTACTGCCTGACGTCCCTGCAGAGCGCCCTGTCCTACGTGGAGTCGCTGCAGTGAGGAGGGGGCGGCGCGGGACCCCCACACCCCCGGGCAGGTGCTGCCGCCCCTCCGCGGGTCCTCCCGCCCAGCAGGGCGCGCTGTGGCGCGGGCTCAGCCCCGCCCCGGGGGCGGAGCTACGGGCGGCACGTGCGTTCCGGCCCGGTGCGCGCGGAAGGGGAGCGGGAAGGGAGCGCGAGCGGCCGGGAGCGGCAGGTGCGGGGGGAGCCGGGACCGGGGCGGAACCGGGCCGGGGGGGAACACCGGGAGGCCTCGGTGGGGGGAAACGGGAGGAACCGGGGCCGGGGAGGGACAGCGGGGGGACTGGGGCCAGGGAGGTGCCGGGGAGGCCTCGGGGGAGCGGAGTTCCGGAGCTGGGGCTTTGGCGGGGGATCTCCACAGGTTCGGCGGGGGGTGCCGGGGCTGGGGGTCTGACGGGTCCCGGGGTGGGGTCTCACGCTGCTGTGCCCGCAGGATGTGTGCAGGCTCGGCGCTGCGGCAGGAGCACCGGCAGGACTACGGGCAGGAATTCCGGCAGGAGTTCCACCAGGAGTACCGCCGCTCTCTGGAGCGGGAGCTCGGCCCCGCCGGGACCTGCCCCGGCCCCGCCGCGGCGGAGCGGCTGCGGCAGCGGCTGCAGCAGGAGCCGGCGCTGCTGGAGGCCCTGCAGGAGGACGCCCTGGCACTGCTGGCCCGGGGGCTGCGGGACCACCCCGACCCCGGGCTGGCGCTGCGAGGCCTGGCCAGCGCCTTCCGGCTGCTGGAGCTGGCGGCCGTCAACCTCTACCTCTTCCCGTGGCGCCGGGAGTTCGGCACCATCCCGGTGAGGCCCTGAGGTGGTATGGGGATGGTGTGGGGGTACCCAGACACCTCCAGCCACGCTCCCCGCTCTCCTTGCAGACCTTCTCCGGCGCCTACGTGCACCTGCTGCGCCCGGCGCTCCCCGAAGCCGACCTGGTGCGGAGTTTGGGCCGACTGGGCTACGAGCGGCAGGACCGGCACCGCCTGGCTGTGGAACGGCTGCCCCCGGGGCCCGCGCTGATCGCTGCTGCTGTCGGCTTCCTGGCCTGCCGCCTGGAGTGCGAGATCCTGGCAGAGCTGGCACCACGGCTGCGGTGCCCCCGCGCCGAGGAGCTGCTGGAGGCGCGGCATCGGGCTGGGGGTGCCAAGGGGTGCCTGGAGATGCTGCAGGATCTGGGGACGCGGCCCAGGGCGGCTGCTGACTGCGGTGACAGCGTGGATCTCTACCGGGAGAGTCCAGACAGCCCTGAGGACACAGGGAGCAAGGACACAGCCCCCCCAGAGCCGTGGAGGGACCCTCAGGATGTGCCCACGAGGGGCTGGGGACGCTGCGACAGCACGCTTGCGCCAGAGCCCGTGGGCAGCACCGATCCGGACACCTCCTCTCACCTCTTCCCGGAGCGGGAGCTGGGAGAGCCCCGGGATTGCCCCCAGGCCACGCCAGAGCTGCCCTGCTACCAGCTGCACTCGTGCCTGCAGCGGGGCATGCTGCCCTCGTACTGCTGCAGCACCTGCCGGCAGCTGCACGGCGGCGGCTGCGCCCTGGGGCGCGCCTGCCGCAGCCGGCACCGCGGCCAGGAGCTGCGCGGGGAGCGGCAGCAGCGCCTCTGGCTGCAGCGCACCGAGCTGGACATGCTGCTGGCCAAGGGCCCTGCGCCCCGCTCCTGACACGGCTCTGCTGCCCCTGCAGAGGGCAGGGCACGGATGCTGCTTGGCACAAGGACCTGGACTTGTCAGCCCCTGAGACAGCAGTGCCAGGCCCTGCCCGGGCACTGCTGCTGTAAATTATTCAGTGCATCAGTAAAGTGGCTGTCTCGGCGTGGGGTGTTCTGTCCTGGTGAGGGGGACAAGATGTCTGGTCCAGGGGCAGGGGCTGCAGTGATACCTGACAGCACAGCACCCTGCAGGAGCAGCTCCTGTCTCCCTGAGAGTGGGGGCCAGGATCCACTTAAAGGGGGGCAGCACCTGGATTGTCATGGAGGTAGCGTTGTCCCCAGGGTGACAGAGGAAGGAGAGCAGAGTCACAGCTTGTCCCACTCCTGCTGGCACCAAAGAATGAAGTCACTCAACACACTATTGCCACTGCCAGATGCTTTTATTGATGGCAGAGTCGGGGTTCGCCCCCACAGACAGCACAAACCAGGACCCGCCTGGGACAGGACTGACCCTGCCAAGCCTGGGCATCCCTGCGCCCCATCTCTCCTCTCTCCTGGCTCTGAGGCCATGCTTGCCCAGCCACACACTGCAGCCTGCCCCATCCCACGCGGGCAGACGGATGGAGGAGCTGTCCCCATGGCGCTGGGACTGCTGGGCTGAGGGAATCCACCTCAGCCAGGACACATCAGGGCTGTTCCCAGGGCACAGCTCAGGGCTTGCTGCGCTTGGCCTGGCTCTCCATCGCCGTGCTGGCCGCCCGCTTGTTCCGGTGGTGTGGGAAGGTGGGCATCAGCTCTGGCTCACAGGCTGTGGGGCACAGAGAGGGGTCAGCAGGGCCCAAAGCCTCCCAGTCCTTCCCTGCCCCAGGATGGGGAGTACTTACGCAAGGGCTTCTCTTTGAAGTAGGAGCTCTCCAGGCAGTCCTTGGCTGTGGCCCTGTGGGGACAAGGGTAAGTAGCAGGGACCACCCCAGCCTGGGGCAGGTTCCTGCCCTACCCACCCCGCATCCTGCCTGGCTCTTACCTTTTCTTGGGGTCATACATGAAGAGGAAGTTGAGCAGTCGCAGCCCAGCCTCCGAGAGCCAGGGAAACCTGTGCTTCAGGTTGTTGTAGGGCTGTTTCCGCAGGGTGTACTGGGTGGCCAGCGGCAGCTTGGAGAACCCCTGGGGGAAACCGAGTGTGAGGAGGGGCCTTGGAGCAGCCAGGGAGAAAGGACAGTGGGAAAATGGGCAGGGAGCTCTCACCGGCCAGATGTTCTCGTTGGGTGTCCCCAGGAGCTGCACGATGAGGTCGATCTGGTGGATCTCAGAGGTGCCTGGCAGCAGTGGTTTGTGTGCCAGCAGCTCGGCCAGGATGCAGCCAGCAGCCCTGCAGAGCACAGTAGCCTCTGGAGTTATCCCCCTGCAGTGTGCAGCCCCCCAGCCCTCTCCAGGCAGCCTCAGCCCCTCTCCCTTACCACATGTCGATGCTGGTGGTCTGGGTGGTCATGCCCAGCAGCAGCTCCGGTGCACGGTACCTGCGCAGGAGACACTCGGTGTCAGAGCTGGCACCAGCCCATCCCACTGGGGGAGCCCACCCTGGCACTGCCACTCACCAGAGAGTCACCACTTTGGGGGTCATGGGCTTAGGGGGCATCCCGTAGGTGCGTGCCAGGCCAAAATCAGCTGCAACAGAGAGCGAGAGTCAGGAGGAGCCCAGCTCTGACTGCGGGCATGGCACAGAGCAGCCACGGCCGGGTACAGCTGCCAGGACTCACCTATCTTCACACAGCCCTTGTCGGTCATCAGCAGGTTGGAGACCTTCAGGTCCCTGTGGGAAACAGCAGCTGGAGGTGAGAGACCACACAGAAAATCCAATCCCATCGTTCCACGCCTCCCTGCCCTGCCGGTGCTCCCAGGGCGTGGGACGTGTCCCCAGACACCCCTCTGTCCCCCCAGCTCCATCCTGCCACTCCTACCTGTGGATGATGTAGTTCTCATGGAGGTACTGCAGGCCCTTGAGCACCTGCAGGATGATGCACTTCACCTGGGGACAGAGGACAGGAGCGGTCACCTCTGGGGGAGCGGCACAGACTGGACAAACCCACACAGCCCAAACCCACTGGGGTGTCCTGCAGTCTCTCCATCCCTGTGTCCTCCCAGGGGGTTCTGGGTGGGCATTTTCTCCCAGCTCTGTTTCCCTGACTGTTCTAGTTCCAAACCCAGCCTGGAAAGTCCCTGAAGGCTTCACTGAGAGTCAACAAAGCCCAGCTCCATCAGAATCCCTGGAATCTCCCAGCTCAAGGTCTGGGGAGCCTGTCACAGTGCCCACGTGTTTTGGCAGGAATGGTAGCACCCTCTCAGGGGTGCTGGACCCAAATCCTGCCCCACCCTGTACCTGAGCCTCCGAGAAGGGTGTTTGCATGTTCTCCAGGAGACTGGCCAGGTCCTGCTCGCAGTATCCCATCACCAAGAAAATGCTGTTGGAGACAAGGTAAGGTCAGAGCCTCCCACAGGACAGCTGCAGAGCTCAGGGCTCCAAGGGAGGTTTGGAAGGCAGAGGCAGGACAGACAGGGGACTCTCACCTCTCCAGGTGGTTTCCCACAACCACGTCCTTCAGCTCCACGATGTTGGGGTGCTGGAGCTGCAGGAGCAGGGTGATCTCCCGCAGGCTGCTGATGGGCATTCCTGGGGGAGGGAGGAACACTGTGCTTCAGAACAGGCCTGGAGACAGAGCCAGGACAGAGCCCCCACCCCGTTCCCCCCGCTCCTCCATTACCATCCTTCTCGTTGTCCATCCGCACCTTCTTCAGCGCCACTGTCTCGTTGGTCACAGTGTCCCGGGCACGGTCTGGGGACAGCACAGGCCACGTTGGCACCAGGACACACACCTGGCTTTGTCCCGACCTCACCTCGGCCCCCCCGGCTCAGCCTCAGGGTGAACTATGTGAGCTTCAGGCACCTCCCGACCCAAACCGCGCTGGGATTCTACACGGGGGAAAGGCTTCCCCCTGGCAGAGGGCAGGGATGGACGGGATATCTATAAGGAACATTCCCTGGGAGGCTGGGCAGGCCCCGGCACAGGTGCACAGAGCAGCTGTGCTGCCCCTGGACCCCTGGCAATGCCCAAGGCCAGGCTGCACGGAGCAGCGTGACCTCGTGGAAGGCATCTGGTGGCAGTGCCATCCCTACCCAGGGCAGGGGCTGGAGCGGAATTAACTCAGGTCCCTTCCCGGTCCCGCACGCCCCGGGAGGCAGTACCCGCACTCACACACGATGCCGTACGTGCCCTCTCCGATCCGATTCAGCTTCTCAAACTCCTTCACGCTGCGGCACCGTCCCAGCTGAAACCAGAGAGCCGCGTTCAGCCGGGGCCGCCTCGAGGGCTCCTCACCGGGACCCCCCGCGGGCCCCACGCCCTCCCACACCCCGGGACCCGCTGCACTCACCCGATCGGCCGCCGGAACCTCGAAAAAGCCGTCGCCGCACAGTCGCCGCAGCCGCAGGGGCTCCAGCTCTGGCTCGGCCGGTGCCGTGGCCGATGCCGGTGCCGGTGCCGCCGGCCCCGCTCCCGCCTCAGGTGCTGCCATGTCCACAATTGCGGGTTCCGCCCTGCGCGCGCGGTATTATCCCGCCTCAGGCTCCGCCCACCCTCAAGCCCCGCCGACACGCATTAAGCCTCTGGAAACAGTCGTTAGCGAGGGACCAATAGCGACCCCGGCCCGGGATAGCCCCGCCCTCCATTGTCCCCTCCTCATCGGGGCCCCGCCCTCAGCACCGCCCCGCACCGGATTTTTGGCCCCGCCCCTTCGCTTCCCCGCTGACCCCAATGCTTTCCCGCTGACCACGTGACCTCCCCCTCCCCTCCGGCCGCCCCTTCGCTCTCGCGAGACTCAGCGCGCGCACCCCGGAAGCGGCGGCAGCGTCACCCGGAAGCGGCGGCGGAACCCGGAAGCGGCGACGGGCAGGATGGACGGTACCGGGGGGGTTGGGCGGTACCGGCGCCTCCCGGTGGGGCTGGGGCGGGTCGTGAGGGGTGGGGCCAGGGGTGAGGGTCGGGGCCGGTACTGGGACTGGTGGCCGGGACGTGTGGGCGGGGTCGCCGGTCACCCGATGCCGGTACCGGTCCCGTCGCTGAGACCGTGCTCTCCTTCCTTTCCAGACACGCTCTTCCAGCTGAAGGTGAGAGCAGCGGAGGCCCTTCCGCCTATTTCCGTCCCGTCCCGCCGGTCCCGGGGGCGTCCCGGGCCCGGTTCCGCCGGCTCGGCCTCCCCGGGGCTCGTCGTGCGGCGGGACCGTGAGAGGAGGAGGCCCCGCCTGAGGGGAGAGCGGAGGTGCCGCGGGCAGAGCGTGGGGCAGGGTGGCCACTGAGGGTCGGCGGGGGTGGGCCAGGTGGGCACGGGCCGGGGGCACAAAGGGAGCGGCTTCCCCGAGCCGGGGGCAGGGTGGGACACTGGGAACGGGGAATGGGGAATTGTTCCCTGGCGGGGCGGGCGGGCCCTGGCACAGAGCCCGGAGCAGCTGGGGCTGCCCCTGGATCCCCGGCAGTGCCCAAGGCCAGGCTGGACAGGGCTGGGAGCAGCCTGGGACAGCGGCAGTGTCGCTGCCGGGCAGGGGGCACCGGAGGCTCCGGGGTGCCCCCGCCGGAGCAGCCCGTGCCTGTCCCGCTCCATCCCGCTCCATCCCGCAGTTCACAGCCAAGCAGCTGGAGAGGCTCTCCAAGAAAGCAGAGAAGGACTCCAAGGCCGAGCAGGCCAAAGTCAAGAAGGTGCGTGGGGCTCCCCGCGCGGTGCCCAGCGCCGCGGGCAGCCGGGAGCACACCGGGGCGGGCACGGGGCACACTCAGCCGGGGGCTGGCCGCTGCTCGGCTCCCCGCGGGCCGTGCCCCGCCGGGATCCCCCCGGCGCTGTGTGAGCGGGCTGTGTCGGGGCAGGCGCTGCAGCAGAAGAACGTGGAGTGTGCGCGGGTGTACGCCGAGAACGCCATCCGCAAGAGGAACGAGGGGCTGCACTGGCTGCGCATGGCCTCGCGCCTGGACGCCGTGGCCGCCAAGGTGCAGACGGCCGTCACCATGAAGGGGGTGAGTGCGGGAGCGGCGCCGGGGGGAGACGGGAGTCCTGGCTCCGTGTGCCAGAGGGCTGCTTTGAGCAGCAAAACACGGAGAAGCTGAAGCCTCCCAGCTTCTCAGGAGAAAAGATCCTGGCAAAAGGACTTTTCCTAAAATATGTATGTGACAGGAAAGAGCCTCCAGCCGGGACTTGGGAGCTCCATCCCCACATGCAGCTTCCCCTCTCACTGCCCCCAACCAGCCCTGGTGCCCCCGTGTCCCAAAACGACCCCAGCAGAGCTCCTGGGGGTCTCAGACCCCTCAGACAGGCTCATCCTGCCTGCGACGGCGTCAGGACAGTGCAGGATTGGTCTGGGACCCCCAGAGCATTCCTGAAGGAATCTCCTCTTGCAGGTGACGAAAAACATGGCTCAGGTGACCAAGGCTCTGGACAAGGCCCTGAGCTCCATGGACCTGCAGAAGGTGTCGGCAGTGATGGATAAATTCGAGCAGCAAGTGCAGAATTTGGATGTTCACACGTCGGTGAGTGCCGGGCAGGAGAGAGAGGGTGGGATGGAGAGGGATCCCTGTCGGTCTGTGGCCGGGCAGGGGGACAGGGCTGTGTCTGTCCCAGGTCATGGAGGACTCCATGAGCTCGGCCACCACGCTGAGCACGCCGCAGGAGCAGGTGGACAGCCTGATCGTCCAGATCGCCGAGGAGAACGGGCTGGAGATCATGGACCAGCTGAGCCAGCTGCCCGAGGGCGCCGCGGCCGTGGGGGAGAGCTCCGTGCGCTCCCAGGAGGACCAGCTCTCCCGGAGGTTGGTTCTCTCCCGGCCCCTGGGCACTTCCACTGCTTCCCAGATCCCCCCTGGCCTGAAGGGGAGGAGTTGGCCCTTCCTGGGGGCTCAGAGGGGTCCCTGGCCGTGCTGGCTGGGGCTGCTCCTGCTGCCCTGACCTGGCTCCCCTGTGCTGCTCTCCCTCCAGGCTGGCTGCCCTGCGGAACTGAGCTCTCCCTGGGCCTGTGGATGGCACTGCTGGAGCAGGATCCCCTCCTGCAGCACCCCCTGCCTCGGGACTCTTCTCGGGGGGTGACAGCCCTTCCCTGAGCCTGTGGCCATCCCGGTGGGAATCCTGTGCTGGATCGTGGGGGGGGCTTCGTTTGGGGGTGCTGCTGGTGGCAGAGCCCCACGTGCTGACTAAGGGGAACACTAAGGGGATTTCCCTGCTCTCGGGATGCTGCTCCCCAACTCCTCTGTTGTTCCCTGTCCCTGCCCAGAGCTGAGCTGTGGGCTGAGTTCCTCAGGAGCTGGCTGGGAGGAGCAGGAGAGCCCACGGGGGTCCCCATCTCCGGGAAGGGCCCCGTGCCCGGCTGTGGAGCTGGGGAGGTCGGTGCCTTGCAGGAAGGGGCGGTGACAGCGGGGTGTCCCCTCCCTCGCTGTCACTGTCCCCGTGCCCTTTGCTGCTCCATGTCCTGCCGACACCCCCAGCCCCATACCACGAAGTGCCCTTTGGAACACCCTCCCCTGCCAGCCCCATGCGTGTCAATCCACAGATTCCCCAGGCACTGCCAGCTGGAAGTGGTTATCCCGGCCCTGACTGCCAGTGAGGACCAGTGAGGACCCTTGTCCAGCACTGGGAGCAGATTGCAGCACTGTGGTGGCTGCAGACACGTCCCCAAATGTCCCCCTGCTGGATGGGTGTGACAGGGAGTGCAGAATCATCCCGGGAGCAGCTCTGCCTCGATCCCTGTGCCTCGTCCCTGGATGTCCTCTGTCCCTTTGCTGCTGGCACCAGGCCGGGGGCCGGGGCTGCTCTCCGTGTCCCCTCCCACTGCTCGACCCTGTCCCTTGTCACCTTCCCCCGGGCTGGAGCTGTTTGTGCCCCTCCCCGTGGCACTGCGGAGCTGCTGGATTGCTGGAAGCCCTCCAGGAAGGAAGCGCTGTTTCCTTTGGGTCTCCCAGGAGGAACTGTCACCTCTGGGGGATGGCATGGGGCCACCTCCCGGCACAAACACTTCCAGCTGCGTTGATTGTTTTTCCTGAGTTCAGTGGCCTTGGAGCGTGTGGCTGCTGACACAGAGCCTGCCTCGCCACCGAGGAGGAGGAGGAGGAGGCAGCTTTGGGCTACAGCAGAGCACTGGATCTTGTCCCACCTCCCACTGGGCTGGGTGGGAAGCTGGGGGACCCTGGAGATTTGTGCCTGGCTCCTGGCTCCCTGCACGGTGTCCCCGCAGCACTGGGGGCTCCAGACCTGCCCCCTGTCCCTCTCCCTAGCTGTCTCTCCGTCCCTTCTCTGCTCCCGTCCCTTCCCTGCTCCCGTCCCTTCCCTGCTCCCGTTCCTTCTCTGCTCCCGTCCCTTCCCCATCCCTTGCCACCCCCATCCCTTCCCTGTCCCCCCTCCCTGCCCCGTGCCCGGCTGGCAGACGGGCGCTGCGCCTCAGCCAAATCCCGAACGCCACAGGAAGATGGCTCTCCTTCTCCTGCCTGTTCTCCCGCCTCCGCTCCGAAGACAGGCTGTTCCTGAATGTGAGAGGAAATTGCTAAGGAGATAATTAAGTAGCCAATTAATTAACTAATGATTAATTGAAGCATCCTGCGGAGGCAGCTCCGCAGCCACCCTGGCCAGGTGTTGCCGGGATGTGTCACTCCCGGTGCGGTTACAGCTTCCCGGTGTGCCGGGGCGGGCACCGCGGGGACCCCGCTGCTCTGCCCCGCCGGTGGCATGCCGGGGTGGCCGGTGGCATGCCTGGTGGCCGGTGACATGCCGGGGGTCCCAGCATCTCCAGGCAGGAGCCGGCGGGCCGTGGCGCGGGGTCCCGCAGAGCCGCACACGGACGCTCGCTGCCGGCACTGCTCGAGCCACGGTTTTATTTTGCCAGCAGGTTTGGCAGAAAGGAGCGCAGGATCGTGCCCCGCCCGGCGGCCCTGGGCACGGTGCCAGGGCCACGGTGGCAGCCGGGTGCTAGGAGAGCACGGCGAGGAGCGGGGCCAGTGCCAGCGCCAGCGCCAGGGCTGCCGGCGGGCCCCGGGCAGTGCCGGCGCCGTTGGAGTACCCGTAGCTGGTTCTGCACGGCCCCTCCAGCTCCTCGAAGGCGATGGGGGTCTCGTGGGGAGCCATGCCCTGCAGGCTCCTCTTCACCTGCCGTGGGGACAGGGGGGGCTCCCGCTGTGAGGGGCAGTGCCCGTCCGCACGGAGCCCCTGCCACCCCGCACGTCCCTGTGCCACCCCGCATATCCCTGTGCCACCCCGCATATCCCTGTGCCACCCCGCACGTCCCTGTGCCACCCCACACCTCCCTGTGCCACCCGGAACCTCCCTGGGCCACCCCGCACGTCCCTATGCCACCCTGCATTTCCCTGTTCCACTCTGCACGTCCCTGTGCCACCCCACGCCTCCCTGTGCCACCCGGAACCTCCCTGCGCCACCCCGCACCTCTCTGTGCCACCCGGCACCTCCCTGGGCCACCCCGCACGTCCCTATGCCACCCTGCATTTCCCTGTTCCACTCTGCATGTCCCTGTGCCACTCTACATGTCCCTGTGCCACCCCGCACCGTCCCATGCATATCCCGGTGTCCCACATGTCCCCGTGCCTCCCTGTGTCCCCATAAATTCCCGAGTGCCACATGCCCTGATGTTCCACCTGTGTCTGCTGCCCCAAGTGTCCCCGTGCCACGTGTCCCCATGTCCCATATGTCCCCACTCCCGGTGCTCCCAGTGCCACTTGTGTGCCCTGCCCTGTACCTCCCCGTGCCCCGTGCTTCCCGTGCCCTGCTCACCTCCTCCACTCTGCTGAAGACCCGCAGCAGGTTCTCAGCCAGGGCTCCCTTCACCTCCTCCTCCGTCCAGTTCCTCGCCAGCAGCTCGGCCACCAGCGCGGGGTACTTGGAGACGTCCTCCAGGCCAGTGGGGACCCTGTGCCACCCCGCAGCTCACAGCTGGGTCGCCCCCAGCACCTCCAGCTGCCCACACAGGGTGCAAGGGGGGACACCCCCAGCCCTCAGGAAGCCCCCGTGGTGGGGACTGTCCCATCCCATCCTGGTGGGATGCACCCCTTACCCTGGGACTCCGTCGTAGTCCCCCCCGAAGCCGACAGCCTGGGCACCGGCCACCTTCTTCACGTAGTCCAGGTGATCTGGGGGGGACACCGGGGTGAGCAGGGCAGGGGGGTCACTGCCACCCCCTCCCACCTGGGCACCCCCTCACCTGCGACGTCGGACAGCTTGGCCTTGTCACTGCAGGTCACGTAGGCGTTGTAGAAGTTGACCATCACCAAGCTGCCCGTGGAGGCCTGGGGGGAACAGCTCTGAGTCCCCAGCCCCCCAGAGCCCCCCGCTGTCCCTGCCCCGTGCCCCCACGCTCACCACCAGCTGCAGCACGTCGTCGGGCACGTTGCGGCGGTGCTGGCAGAGGCTGAAGGCAGAGGAGTGGCTGAAGATGACGGGGGCTTTGGAGATGTTCAGCACGACCTTCATCGTGTCCACTGAGACGTGGGCCAGGTCCACGATCATGCCCAGGCGGTTCATCTCCTCCACCACCATCTACAGGGACAGGAGACAAGGCTGGGGAGTGCAGGGGAGGGGTCCCCTATGGGGATGTCTGGAGCTGCTTGGGTGGATTTTGGCTGGTGGGACAGAGGGATGCATGGATGGAGATGGAGGGATGGATGGATGGATGGATGGATGGATGGATGGATGGATGGATGGAACACTGCACCCAGCATGGGGCCAGTGGGTGCCAGTACCACATCCTTCCAATGCCACTGCTCCTGGACACCACTGCTGATGCTATCCTCACCTTCCCAAAGGGTGAGAGGCCGTGGTGCACAGGATTTTCATCGTTGGTGTCCACCAGCCAGTTGTCAGCCCTGCAGAGCAGGGAGAGCATCAGAGTGGCCACACCTGTGACCACACCCCCCATGCCAGCGCTGCCACCCTCTGTGCCCCCGGGGTCCTACCAGGGGGTGTTGCAGCTGTGGGTGAGGGTCATGTAGCGGGCACCCAGGCGGTAGAGGGTGCGCAGGACGCCCAGGCTGCTGTCGATGGAGTGGCCGCCCTCCACCCCGATGAGGCTGGCCACCTTCCCGTTCCGGAACGCCTCCCGGACACCTGCGGGAGAGCAGGGACGTCAGCCGGGGCGGGCAGGCCCGTAACCCCCACCCCGGTGCCTGGTCCCCGTGCTCACCGCTGCTGTCGGTGACGCAGGTGAAGGTCTCGGGGTACATGTCGCACATGCGCTGCACCACGTCCATCTGCTCCAGCGTGCGCCTCACCGCGTCCTTGTTCTGCGTCTCGCAGGGCACGTACACCGACCAGAACTGCCACGGGCACCCCGCCAGCACGGGCACCCCGTCAGCACGGGCACTGCCCACCCTGCTGCCCACCCTGCTGCCCACCCCGCTGCCCACCCCTGTGTCTCTGACAGTCCTGCTGTCCCAAGAGCCCCAATGCACACCCTGGTGCCCTCCCTGGTGTCCCTGCCCACCCCAGTGCCCACGCTGGTGCTCCCACCTGCCCGCCCACGTGCCCCTGGCGCAGTTTGGGGATGTTGGTGTGGGTGTCGTTCAGCACTGTCAGGTTGGCTGCTGGCAGCCTCAGCTGGTTGTTGAACTTCTGGAGGAGCTGCCAGGGCAGATCGTTGTGCCTGGGCGGGGACAGGGTGGGCACTGAGGAGTGGCCTGACCCTCTGCCCACTCACCCTCAGGCTGTCCACCCCCCTGGCTGGCCACACACAGTCCCCTCATCTGGCTGTCATTTCTTCCAATCATCCATCCATCCATCCATCCATCCATCCATCCATCCATCCATCCTCCACCCCCCTCAGTCCATCTGTCCACCCTCCTGTCCCCTCAGCCAAAAGCCACCCAAGCCGTTCCAGCCCAGAACTGGAGACAGGCCACTGCCAGGGGACAGTGCCATGTGGGACCCCCCGGAGGACCCTCCCCAGCACCTTTCCAACACACCATCACCCTCACACCCAGGGGAGCCAGCCCAACATCCCTTCGACAGGGATGTCACGGCAGGGACATCCTGGCACGCACATCCCACACCCAGCCGTGCCACTGGGGAAGTGGCAGGTCTGGGTTGGGTGCCATTTCCTGCTCCTGTCACGGTCCCACATTCCCCGGCTCCCCTGCCCTCTCCCTGTTCCAGGGGCACAGCGCTGCTCCTCAAGGGAATGCTGCAGGGGACCGGAGCCTCCTGAGGGTCCCAAGAAGGAACCAGGGACATCACTCAGGACCGAGCAGGAACTTCCCCCAGCTCAGCCTAACCCCGGCTTCCCGGTACCCTGCCCGCTCCCGCTGGGTACCGGGGATCCCCTCGGTGCACTGACGGTCCCACGGGATCCCCGGGAAAGCTGGGCCCTGTTCCCGCACAGCCCTGGGGTGCCTGGCACGGGGATCCCCTGGGAAAGTTGGGCCCTGTTCCCGCACAGCCCTGGGGTGCCTGGCACGGGGATCCCCTGGGAAAGTTGCTCCCTGTTCCCGCACAGCCCTGGGGTGCCCGGCCCCGGAATCCCCCAGCGAGCTGTCCCAGCAGGGTTTCCCAGCTGGGGTTTTCCCACAGAGAGGGAGCAGCCGCGGGGCCGGGTGACCTTTGCTCACCCATCGATGACCGGCGTGGTTCTCATGATGCGCTCGGCCTCCTCCAGGTGCTGCTGTCCGGTGCTGGGCAGCGCCAGCGCCAGCACCAGCGCCCACACGCTCCCGCCTGGCATCTTCTCCTGCTGGGTGCTGCTGGGGACAAGGGGGGACCTGCCACCACCGTGAGAGCACACGCACTGGGATGGCTGCCCCGCGCTGCTCCGTCCCCTCCCGCCGTCAATGAATAACCAGGAGAGCCGCGTTACCCCTCCCTGGGTGCCCTGTGCCCGCTTGGCAGTGCCAGGGCTCCGCGGCCTCCCCCAGCCCGGCCCCGGTGACTCTGCCGTGCCTCGGCCTCTGCTCCGAGCCGCGGGGACGCTCCCAATCCGTCTAATGAAGCCCAGATTTTTTTGGGTTGGGAAAGAGCCAGTCCCATCCTCTCCTCAGCCTCCCCGGCACCCCCAGTTCAGCACTGGCACCGCCAGCATCCCTGGCACCCCCGGCACCCCTGGCCCCGCTCACCCCGGCCCCGGGACACTCGGGCAGTCCCTGTCTGCGACGGCTGTGAATTAACTTTTCCGGCTTGCGTGCGGTGACGGGGCTGGGATGGGCTCCAGCCACCCCAGAGCCCGCCCTGCATGGCGCCGGAGCAGCCACATGCCCGGGGGCGAGCAGCCGGGGTGGCACGGCCGCGGTGTGGGGCTGCTGCTGGTCCTCCTTGCTCGCTTGGGTCCCCCACGCTCCGGTCCCGCTGCAGCGTCCCGAGGGGAAACTGAGGCACCGCTGTCCTGCGGATGCTGCGCATCCCTGCTGGCTCCAGCTGTGGTGTCCTTCCCAGCAAGGGCCTTGGTGGGGCTTCTGGGAATGCATGGAGCCGCGTGGAGATGGCTGGTCCAGCTGGACACCTCATCCTGGGCTGTGCTGGGACGGGAACCCCTGCTCCGGTGCCAGCCTTGGGGAGCTCGGGGTGGGCACGGTGTGGGGCTGGCATCGCTCGGCATCCTGGCCCCCGTCCCGAGGTGACGCGGCCCCCACGTTTCTCCCGGCTGCGGCGGTGGGTCAGGGACGGGAGGACTCCCACCGCACCCATCCCACCCATCCCATCCCAACCCCTCCCATCCCATCCCGGGTGTCTCCAGCCCCTGCCAGCAGCTCTCCCGGCGATGGCCCCAGCGCGGATTCCCGGCTCCCCGGCAGGAATGTGCCGGGGGGTTCCGGCCCCCCGCCCGCCGGGGCCGCTTCCTCTTTCAGCGCTATTTAAGCGGCTCCGGGCGCGTCCCGCCCGGCCGGGCCATGGAGCGCATGGAGGTGACCGAGACCTTCGCGGGCATCGCCCTGCCCGGACACCTCCACACCCAGGAGTCCCTCGGCTTCGCCGCCGCCTTCACCTTCCGCCCCACCGACGTGCTCATCGCCACCTACCCCAAATCGGGTGAGGGCATGGGGGGACACGGGGACAACGAGGGGACGGGGCTGGCACCCCGGGCTGGAGCGGGGAGCTCTGCCGGAGCCGGGAGATGGGGGGGCTTGGGGACACCCGGACCTGGTCCCCGCGGCCGCTCTTTGGCACAGCACGGGGACCCCTGGCCGGGAGGTGCTGCCCCGAGCCCGGTCCTGCTGCCGTGCTGTCCCCAGCCCCAGGCTGGTGTCCCTGCGGGCTCAGGGAGGGGGACACGGCACTGCCAGCCCAGCCGCTGGTACAGGAGGGGTCGGGATGGGATGGGACAGGACGGGCTGAGCCGTGCCTTGCCGTGCCAATCCGTGCTAGCCGTGCCAGTCCAGTGCCGTGATGTGCCATGCCATGCCATGCCGTGGTGCCCTAGCCCTGCCCTGACACCCCCCTCTGCAGGCACCACCTGGATGCAGGAGATCCTGACGCTGCTCTTCAGCCTCGGCGATGCCCGCCCGGCCAAGACCATTCCCAACTGGGAGAGGGCGCCCTGGCTGGAGCAGATCTATTGCCGGGAGGCTCTGCGGGACACCGAGACCCCGCGGCTGCTCACCACCCACCTGCCCGCCCCCGTGCTGGCCCCCGCCCTGCAGCGCAGCCGGGCCAAGGTGAGAGGGGTCCCCAGGGCTCGGGGGGTCCCTGCAGGGACATCCCACACCCACGGGCTTCCCACAGCCAGGGAAACGCTGGGGGATTTCTGAGCGGGTGGAGGGGGATCCCCCAGCTGTGGGGGTGACACTGCGTCCCTCCAGGTGATCTACGTGGCCAGGAACCCCAAAGACGTCGCTGTCTCCTTCTACCACTTCCACCACCTGGCCAAGTTCCTGCCCGACCCCAGCTCCTTCGATGCCTTCCTGACGCAGTTCCTCGAGGGCACAGGTAGGGACTGGGGGAGTCGGGGACGGGGGGGACTCAGCCTCGGGCCCCCCATCACCCCCCGCCTCCCCCCAGTGCACTACGGCTCCTGGTTTGACCACGTCAAGGGCTGGCTGGGCCAGCGGCACCTCCTGGACATCCTCTATGTCACCTACGAGGAGCTGCACCAGGTGAGCTCCGCTCTGTCCCCGTCCCCGTCCCTGTCCCCGTCCCCGCCGGTGCCCGGTGCTGACGGTGCTCCCTCCCCAGGACCTGCGTGGCACGGCGCAGCGCCTCAGCAGCTTCCTGGGGTGCCCGCTGGCCCCGGGCACGCTGGCAGCCCTGGAGCAGCACTGCAGCTTCTCCGCCATGCGGGACAACGCCATGGCCAACTACTCGCTGATCCCCGCCGAGATCATGGACCACAGCCAGGGCCGCTTCATGCGCAAGGGTGAGGGGCGTCGGCGGGGGGCGGTGGGGCACCGCGGGTGCAGGACCCCTGACTGCTGTCCCCTCTGTCCCACAGGGGTGGTGGGGGACTGGCGCAGCCACTTCTCCCCCGAGCAAAACGCCCTCTTCAACCGGCGCTACCAGGAGGAGATGGGGGACACGGAGCTGCCCTCGCAATGGCCCATGGCCTGAAGGACCCGGGCTTTGGGGGGACTCGGAGCCCCCAGCTGCTGAGAACCACCACATGGAGACCCTGCAGGGCCCCCCTCAAAACACCCCCTGTGTCACCCCGGCGCCAGGGGCTCCCACGGGGCTGGGGGGTCTGGTGGGGGGCCAGGCAGCGTCTCTCCTCCCTGGGGGTGGGGAACTTTTCCGGCCATGCATTGTGGCCATCCCCGTGGCCTTGCTCCCCCCGGCCGGGGACGCGTGGCCCTGACCCCTCTTCCCTCCCAGCCCGCCCTGAGGAAATAAATATTTATTGCTGTTCCCAGGCAGGCAGCTGTTCCCACGGCTGCGAGGCGGGAAGCAGCGGCGGCAGCGGGAAGAGCTGCTGTTATCAGGAGCACATCGGGGTGGGGACGCATCCCCGGGGAGCTCATTAACGGCCGGGGGCAATGACCGGGTGGGCAGCACGGGCCGGGCCGGGGTCACAGCACGGCGACAGGGCTTGCCAGCACAGCTCGTGGCACGGAGCTGGCTCCTTCGGCAGGATCCAGGGCTCTCCACCCCGGAGTCTCCCTCCCAGCAGATCCCCTTCCAGTGCCCCCTGCCCCGACTACCCCGGTTGGACGCTCCTCCTGCCCATGTCCCCTGCCGGGGTGTTTGCACCGAGGGGCTTGTTCCACCCTCCCAGCCCCCTGGGGTCTCCCAGGCAGGCAGCAGCCCGAGCCCCCGGCCCCTCTCCTGCCACGCTCCCCTGGATTTGGGGATTTCCCACAGGAATTGCTCTGTGCAGCCCCCGGCCAGCAGAGGCTCAGCCAACAATGAACTGGCTTCCCTACCCTGCCCCTGCAGGGTGAGCGGGGTGGGGGCTTGGCCCACCTTGATGTGACCCTCCTTGGGCTCTGTGGCACTGTGGGACAGTGGCACCAGCGTCCTGCCACTCCTGCCCCCTCTGCTAGCCTTGTCAACCCTGCCACCTCCGCCAGCCCCTCCTGCCGGCGGGGACAACCCGGCGTGTGTCTCGGGGCACTCCCAGCCCCTGGGGTCCCTCTGCACCCACCCTGGGGTCCCCTCTGTCCCCAAGGGTTGGGGTGCCAGGGCTGGCCCCTGCTGCAGCCTCCCGGCGGCAGGTTTGGGTTTCCACGGCAACGCCCAGGATCCCGCCGTAAAGGGATGAATCAGGAGCTATAAATAGGGGCTGAATGGGGGAGCAGGTACCGCGCCCCTGCCCGTGCCTGGTGCCGCCAGCAGTGCCCAAGGGCCAGCAGAGCTGTCCCGGAGAGTGCCACCCACAGGGGCCAGCCTGGCATCTGTCCCTGCACCCAGGGAGATGGCAGCATCCTGGAGCCCAGCTCGGTGGCACCTGCATGGCGGCTCCCAGGCAGCCCCTGCCCCATGAGGCTGTGCCAGGCCCCAGTTCAGTCCCCGTGGTGGCCTTGGGCACACCCTGCCCCTGGGGATGTCACCTTGCCAGGAGCATCTGCTGGCACCACGCTGGCAGCATCAGCACACAGCGCGTGGCAGGAGGGTGGCACAGTGCCCAGCACGTGGCACAGCATGATGCATGGCACATGGCATAAAGAACATGGCACGTGGCACATAGAACATGGCACAGGGCGCAAGGAACATGGCACATGGCACAGGGCACACAGGACATGGCACAAGGAATATGGCACACGGAACATGGCACATGGAACATGTCACATGACAAATGGTACATGGCACAGGGAACATGACAAGGCACACAGCATGTGGCACATGACAATGCACATGTGACATGGAACAGATACACAGAGCATGCCACACTGCGTGCCACATGGCAGAGCATGCAGCACACCGCGTGTGGCACACGGAACAGACACGTGGGACACGGCACACATGGCATGTGGCACACAGCACACAGTGTGGCAGGGGATGCATGGCACAGGGGACACGGCACAGAGGACACGGCACAGGGCACACGGCACAGGGCACACGGCACAGGGCACAGGGCACACGGCACAGGGCACACGGGACACGGCACACAGCACAGGGCACACGGCACACGGCACAGGGCACATGGCACAGGGCACATGGCACAGGGGACACGGCACACGGCACAGGGCACATGGCACACAGCACGTGGCAGTGGCCGTGTGCCGGGCAGCAGGGCCCGCTCCGTTGCCGTCTCTCCCCGCTCCGTGCCCTGGATTCGGGGCCGCGGCTCAGCGGGGCGAGCTCTGGCACATCAAAGCCGCGGCTGCTCCGGCGCTCCCGGCACGCTGCCGGCCACGGGCACCCGAAACGGGGGCGCTGGGGCTGCCCTCAGCTCTTATCACCGGGTGGGGCAGCACGGTGTCACCGCGAGGGGACACGGCGGCATCCAGGGGCTGCCAGCCTCTCCACCCACCCCGAGTGACCCCCGGAGGGTGGGGTCGGCACCCAGAGAGCAGGAGGATGGCACAGGGGTGGTGCTTTATTGGGGGGATCATGCAGCCTCCAAATATCACAGTGACAGAGAAGCGGGGAGCGGGGGGACCGAGGGGACAGCAGGGTGGGTCCGGCTCACGGGGCACAGACCACCGGGAGCGAGCAGTGCTGGGGGCGTCCTGCACTGGGGCCGGGACCTTCCCCATGTCCCAGCCGGGGAGGGGGCTGTGGCAGGGCTGGGCCTGGCGGGGACCCCGCGTGTCCCCAGGCCACGCCGGGAGAGGGGGGGTTCACTGGGGCACGCTGGGACTGGGGCCGGGGGTCTTCGCTGGGGCAACCAAAGCTGGGGGGCACTGGGGGTGTCTCACAGGGGAACTGAGGCTGGAGTCGGGGCTCGGGGGTCCCTCACTAGGGAAAACGGAGGCTGGGGCTGGGGGGTCCCTCACTGCGGGGAGCCCAGGCTGGGGTCGGGGCCGGGCTGAGCAGCGGGACACCGGGACACCGGGCTGAGCCGCGGGCACCGGCTCCCTGCGCCCCGGGTGCGGAGGGGACGGGAGGGGACAGGAGGGAACGGGAGGGAAGAGATGGATGGGAGAGGGAAAGAGGGGACCGGAGGGGATGGAAAGGGACGGCAGGGACCGGGAGAGGACGGGAGGGGAGGGAAGGACCGGGAGGGGCAGGCGGGGGAAGGCAGGAGCTCGTGGCCGCCCCACTCACGTTCTTGAACTCGCGGAAGGGGACGAACTGGACGATGTCGCGCAGGACGGGCTCGCCCTTGGGGGAGCGCAGGACACCGTCGTCCCCGTCCAGGATCTGCATGTCCGTGAAGTCGGCGTTGCCCACGCCGACGATGATGATGGACATGGGCAGGTAGGAGGCGCGGACGATGGCCTCCCGCGTGTCCGCCATATCCGTCACCACCCCGTCCGTCAGGATCAGCAGGATGAAGTATTGCTGGGGGACAGGGATGGAGCATTGCTGGGGGACAGGGATGAAGCATTGCTGGGGGACAGGGATGGAGCATTGCTGGGGGACAGGGATGCTCGGGGGGCTGCCTGACCCCGCTGCCAGCCCCTCGCCGGAGCAGCCACAAGTGTCTCGAGTGTGCAGGGTCTGAGCCCAGCCCCGGCGGGGGCAGAGGGACCCACCGAGGCCTCCTTGGTCCGCTCCTCGTCGGCCGCCACGCGAGCCACCTTGGAGATGATGGGAGCCACGTTGGTGGGGCCGTAGAGCTGGATTTTGGGCAGGCAGCTCTGGTAGGACTCCACGACGCCCTGGATGCCTGTGGGGGGTGCGAGGGGTGAGGGGCATCCCAGCCGTGGATCCGGCCCCGCTGGAGCTGGACTCACCCTCACACTCGTCATTGTCGGGGTTGAAGTTGATGGCGAAGTCATGGGAGACCTGGAGGGAGGGAGGAAGGGGAGGGGGCAGCTGGTGCACCCCCTACCCCAGCCCCCAGCGTGTGCCAAGCCCCAGCAGTGCCACAGCCGAGGGTACCCAGAGGGACAAGCACATCCCTGGGGTCCCACAGGGCCCTGAGACCCCCTCACCTCGTACTTGGGGGGGATCCTGGCACCAAAGCCCAGAGCTGAGAATTTCTTATCACTGCAAGGAAAGGGGGATGAGGAGCTCTGGGGCCAGCACCAAGTGCCTGTCACCAGCAGATCTCACCCCGAGGTGGGTGTCACCAGTGTGTGTGGCCCCGGGGGACCCGCCAGAGCCACCAACCTGTCATAGTCCTGGCAGATCTCACCCACAGCCACCAGCGCCTTGAGGTACTCGTTGGGCTGGTAGGGGTTGATGTAGTGCAGGGAGCAGCTGTTTCGGGGGTCCCCGTTGGAGGCCGTGAAGTCGATGGCCACCTGGTGGGGACAGGGGGGTCACCCAGGGTGAGCAGGGCCACTGCTGGTCCCTGCTGGCTGGGGAGGGGACGCTGCTCACCGTGAAATGGATCTGGCAGCCGCCCATGATGTAATCCAGGAAGGAGTAAACCCTGTGGATCTTCCAGAGGGACCTGAGTCGGCGGCTGTGCCCCACACCAGGGCATGGGCATGGCCTGGCACAGCCTGGCATGGCTTGGCACAGCCTGGCACAGCTCCCAGGCGCTCACCTTCAGGTCCAGCAGCACCACGACCCCCGAATTCTTGTAGTTGCGCTTCTTGATCTTGTACTTGGGGTTCATGCAGTCCCACTGCACCTGTGGCACCGGCACCCGCGCTGCCTGCGGCCCCCGCCGGGGCACGGCCCAGCCCGGGCACCCCCCGTGCCACTCTGCACCCCACAGCCCCAGAACATCGTGGCCCAATAACCCTGCACCCCCAGAGCCCCACGGTGCAGCTGCCTTCCCCCACTCCCAGCCACCCCATCCGTGACTGATTCCCCAGAAGACCCCAAACCCACCCTCCCTTCCCCAAACAGGAGGGCAGAGAGAAGAAAATGGTGCCAAACCCAGAGGAGGAGCTGGAAGGTGGCTGCTAGGACAGGCTCTGCTGGCAGCACACAGGGTGACCCCAGGCCATCCCCGTGTCCCCATGTCCCACCTTGTTCTCCCCCATGGCCTTCTGCATCTCCTCGAAGGTGGTGAAGAATTCCCCGATGAAGTCGTGCTTGCCCCGCGAGTCGTAGTCCCACACCACGCACTGAGACGGGCACGGCTCAGCCCTGGCACCAGGGGGGCTCAGCCCTGTCCCCAGCACTGGGGGGTCCCCAGCACAGCCCCAGGGAAGCTGCAGTTCTGACGCCCCCAGGGCAGGAATAGAGGTCCCCATCATTCTTCCTCACCCTCAGCTTCCTCTTCTCCTCGCAGCTGCAGAGCGAGTTGAGGGAGACTTTGAAGGGCTCCCAGATGGGGCTGAGGTTGTTCTTCACCACCTGCAGGATGGGTGGGGGGCTCAGCGGGGCCGGGGAGCCCCCGGGGTGGCGGTGGGGCGGCCGGGGCGCGGTGCCGCCGTGGCCCCACCTCGGTGCGGTACACCAGCTGCTCGCTGCGGTCGTCGTCGATGCGGTAGATCTCCAGGAAGGGATCTGACTTGCTGAACAGGTCCTGGGGGAGGAGGATGAGGGAGAGCAATGCCCACCCTGCCCTGTTTCCCCCCCAGCACCCAGCTCACCTTGTCATCCAGTTTCTTGGCGCGGAAGGCGAGCTCCACGTAGCCGTTGTTCCCCGAGATCTCCTCCGAGATGATCTGAGGAGGGTGGGTGCTCAGAGCCTGGCATAGCTTTGCCCCCCTGCCCACCACCTCCCTGTGGTGCCCTGGGAGGGGACAGGGTCCCACGTGCCTCCCGGGCACAGCAGGGACCTTCAGGATGGCCAGCAGATGCCATCAGGGACCCTGAGCCCTCCCCAGCCCCAAGAGTCTGTGCCACCCTACTGATCCAGTCCAGTGCCACCCAGGTGTCCCAGTCTGATGCTGTCCCAGTACCCCAGTCCTGTGCCATCCGTGTGCCCTGACTGGTGCCATCCCAGGATTCCAGCCCCATGTCACCTGTGCGCCCCATCCCGGTGCCACCCTCTGTTTGGTGCCACCCCAGTGCCCCTGCTCAGTGTCACCCACCCCGGTGTCACCCACCCCCTGCACGGGCTCGGCGCTCACCGTGATCGTGGACTTGCCCGCAAACTTCCCGTACTTGAGGAACAGCGGCTTCGTCACCCGTTTCTGTGCCACGATCTGCGAGAGCCAGCGTTGGGGACGGGACAGCACCGCGGGGTCCCCGGGGAGGGGACAGCACCGCGGGGTCCCCGGGGAGGGTCCCCAGGCTCACCTGCCCCACGGTGCACTCCATGCCCCCCAGGAAGTCGTCATCGTGCGTGCCCACGCCGGCCTGGCCGTGGCTGTCGTACACCTCGAAGCGCAGCTTCTGCACCTCCTCGAAGTAGTAATCGACCGTGAAGATCTTGGCGAACACGGGGTTCAGGTTGCTCTTGATCACCTCGCTGCGATCCACCTGTGAGGGATTGGCACAGGGCCTTGGGGGGCCAGAGCTGCCGCAGGGATGTGGGAACCCAGGGGCGTGGGGGGGCTGGGATGTGGGGTGTGGGCTGCTGTGAGGGGAGATGAACGGATGGCACATGCCAGGCTGAGGGGTACAGGGATGAGGGATGGGGGAGTGAAGGATGAAGGGATAGGGGTGCAGGAACAGGGAATGCAGGGAAGGACCAGCTGTGCCCGAGTGAATGGCATTTGGAGGAGCCCCTTGTGCCCCCCACAGCCTCCAGCCCTACCAGCCCTGGGTGTGGGACGCTGCTCCCACTGGGCTCCCTGTGGTCATCCAAGGGGATACTCTGCCTCTGGCTGTGCTTTGCCACAGCTCTGCTGGAGCAGCAGCAATGGGTTGGTGCCAGGACAAGCTGCTGTGCCCATTCTGGGGGTCACCGGCCCTGATGGCCCCAGTGGGCAGTGGGTGCTCAGCAGCTCCTGGCCGTGCTGGCAGCGGGTGCTGAGCAGTTCCGGAGCCTCCCCCGCAGCCGTCCCTGCCAGGGCTGACTCAAGGGGACACATCCTGGCCAGGGCACCCTGCCAGCCCCTGGCCCCTGCCTGCCCAGTCCAGCATCATCTGTCTAGCCCACACTGCTGCCACCCTGCCACGGCCAGCCGTGTCCCTCCTGCGTGGGCACTGCCAGCCCCTCATTCTGGGGATGAGGCTGTTGGGTCCTCGGTCCCTCTGGACCCAGGGCCTTAGAGCCAGTGGCAGAGCCAGATGCAGGTGCCTTGTCTGGGGCACACAGGCCAGCTGGGACAGGACTGTCTCCAAAAGGTGGCTCAGGAGGGACCCTCTTGCCCCTTGGAGCTGGCCGGTGTCTGGCACAGCGCAGCCTGGAGCGTGGCACAGCCCACAGAGTGTGGCACAGAGCACTGTGGCACAGCCGGGTACAAGTGTCTGGCATGGCACAGCACACCGCAGCTGGCACGGTGCCCTCGTCCCCCCCCTCCCCGGCTCCGCGCTGGCTCGAGCGGAGTCGATGACACGCCGAGGGATTTAGCGCTAAATCCGCCGGCTGAGCGGCCGCGATTAGAGCGGAGCCGCCGGTGCCAGCACGGGAGGGATGGAAGGAGCCGTGCCAGCCCCAGTGCATCCCGGTGTCTGCCAGCCCCACTGCCAGCATCAGCCCCAGTGCCAGTGTCAGCACCAGCCCTGCAGCCCTGAGCCACCCCGGGGGGAGCTGAGGTGTCCCTTGTCCCTGTCCCGGGGCACTGGAGCCACTCGGGAGCCACACGCGGTGGGCACCACGCCCACCCCGCTCCCCACAGCAGCCCCAGTGGGCGGGATGTGACCCAGCGTTAGCACCATCCCCACAGGCTGCGGGTGCCCCACAGTGCCCTGCCCACCCTGCCTCACCCCCCGACCCCGTTCTGCACCCTGCAACCTGTTCTGCACGGCACACCCTACTCTGCATCATCTCCTGCACCCCATCCTGCACCCATGCTCTGCACCCTGGTCTGAGCCCTGCACCCTGCTCTGCACCTTGCACCCCATTCTGAACCCTGTACCCCCTTCTGAACCCTGACCCTGTTCTGCACCCAGCTGCCCATTCTTCATTGTCTCCTGCACCTGGTCTGAACCCTGCACCTCATTCTGAACGCTGCAACCTGTCTTGCACCATGCACCCTACTCTGCATCATCTCCTGAACCCCTGCTCTGCACCTGTACCCTGGTGTGAACCCTGCACCCTGTTCTGCACCTAGAACCCCTTTCTGCACCCTGTACCCCATTCTCCACTGTCTCCCGCACCCTGCTCTGTACCCTGTACCCTGCTCCCCGCCAACTCCTGCACCCTGACCCCCATTCTGCACCTTGCACCTCGCCCCCCACCATCTCCTGCAGCCCCCTACATCCCCCGCCCTGTGCCCAGCCCCGCCGCGCCCCGGCTCCTGCCCTGCCCTGCCCGGTGGGTGCCAGCAGTGCCCCCCTCTCCTACCTCCATCCACTGGCCCTGGGACTGCATCAGCAGCAGGACACAGGGGTCCGACTTGTTGAGGGTGTCGCGGTCCAGGAGGTGTTTACAGCTGACCCGCAGCTCCACCTTGGAGAGCACGGCCAGCGGGGCCTGCGGGCACGGCTCGGGCACGTCGCCCATGCCGGCCGGGCGCGGCGGGGCACCGGCGGCCCCGTGGGCGAAGGGCATGGGGGGCGAGCGGGGCGGCCGCGGCCTCGGGCGCCGTCAGGGAGCCGGGCAGGTGCCCGTCATGCCCGGGGCACGGCGCCCCACGGTGCCAGGCTCGGCCCCGGTGGCAGGACACGCGTGGGGCAGGGGGGCTCCAGGACACCTCCGGGAGGGGTGGTCGCTTCCAGTCCCGACGGCTCCGCGGGGCCCTGCAAGGCACCAAAGCACAGTGGGGCGAGCTGGGCACCTCGTGCACGGCCCGGGTATCCCCAAGTCCCGGGCAGCACCACGGGCACAGCTGTGTGGGGTTCACACGGTCCTGCGGGGCCGTGCCCAGCTCTGTCCCAGCCCCACCCCAGCGGCAGGATGTGTCCCGAGGGGAGGGGGGACCTGAGTGGGGTGGGGTACCCACCCTGGAGTGCCCCGTGTGGGGCTGTGGAGTAGAAACCCCCTGCAGTCCCTGCGGGCAGCACCCCCCGCCTGGGCAGGGCTCTCCGGAGGGGAGCGGGGACACCAGCTCCGTGTCTGTGGCACCAGGTGACGGATTCCCCCCGTGCTGGGGACAACATCCACCCTGCCCCCGGAGGCTGGCAGCACTCAGCCGGGCGATGCTGCCTGACGGGGCAGCGAGGGGCTCTGCCAGTCCCGGCCCCAGTGCCCCACCCGCAGGTCCTGGGGGCTCCTGGCTGGGGCAGGGCATGGGCAGAGCAGCCCTTGCCCACCTGTGCCCTCGCATGCCCAGCCCGGCCGAAGTTTCCCGGGGAAGTCATGCAGTGCCCAGGCCCTCTCCGGGCACATGGCTCCGGTGGGCACCGTCCCCCTCCCCGGGATCGCGGGCACCCCTTGGCATCATCCACCGCTCAGTGGAGGGGACAGCGGGTCCCACCCTGCCCGTCGCCCCCTCACCTGGGTGCTGGTGGCCTGGGCTGGGGCACGGCGGGGCAGGGGCTGGCTCGGGGCGTGCCCGCCGTGCCGGTGTGCCCGCCGTGCCGGTGTGCCCGCCGGAGCTGCTGCCGCTGCCACCTCCACACAACTGACTCAAGCTGCAGCTCGGGAGCGGAGCCCTAAGAGGGAGATGGATGACAAGCTCCGTTAACTGCCTCGCTGCCGGCTCCGGAGCGGAGCCCACCCCGCGCCGGGGCTGAGCGGGGTCCGCAGGGTGCCCAGCACCGCTGGCTGTGCCAGGGCAGGAGCTCCTGCTCCAAGTGAGACCCCCATGGCACAGCCACCGCCCCCCACCCTCCCCAGCTGCTCCCCATGGGGTACCCAAGGCCACCTTGGTCCTGGCCCCCCACACTCTGAGCCAACAGCCCAAGCACAAGGCTGGGGTCCCCCCAAACCCACCGGGTGCCCTCCCCACATGCTGGAGCATCCAGACCCACATCCCATGCACATGGAACCCCATAGGCTGAGGCCCCAACCCGGGACCCCCCACCCATCCCTGTCCCCCCAGCACTGCGGTGCTGTCAACCCAGCTTTATGGAAGATGATGTAATTAGCTCAAATTTGGAGGGATTAAAAAGCAGATAGGGCTAACAAGCACGAGGGCACCGCAGGGCCCGGGCTTTGGGAGCTAATCCCCAGCCTGCCTGGCAGAAATAGGCCACTCTTCTTCCCACTCCCCCCACAGCCCCAGCACGGCTCCGTAGGGCAGGAGGCACCAACCCACAGCAGGACACGGCTGGGCAGAGGGGCTGGGGGGACACCGTGGTAACTGGACACAGGCAACACCTCACCAGGCACATCTTGCCTCTTTGAATGGCCCAGCAAGCATGCAGCTGTGCCAGGACTCCAGCACTGAGTGCTCCATCCCATCCCATCCCATCCCATCCCATCCCATCCCATCCCATCCCATCGTAACAATGATGGGCTGGGTGAGTGCTCCTGGAGCAGCTCTAATCCCACCAACACATCCCAGTGACCCACCAGCCCTTGCCCAGGGACAGGCAGACCCTGGGATCCCCCCAACAGCCTCGAGGATCGGCCAGAACCCCCCCAGCTTCTACTGAGCTCCCGTGGCACCACTTAAACTATCACAGAATCATTTGGGATGGAAAAAGATCAGTTCACCCTCTCCCCAGTACTGCCAAGGCCACCACAATGTTCCCAAGTGCCACATCTACCAAGGGATGCCTTTAGTCCATGAAGAAATGGCTAGAAGGGCCCTGGAACTGCAGCAGGGGCTGAGCCAAGGGCCAGGGAGTGCAGGATGGCAGAGCAGCACAGTCCAGCTCTGGGACTTGGCTCCACCCAAGCTCAGCTGAGGGGCTGGGCCACACCTTGCTTCCCCTGTACCCCCGCAAAAGTGGGGAAAGCCCCCCACCACAACACCCAACTTGTACAGCTTTGCCTGACACAGAGGTGTGGAAATCATCAAACCAGGAATACTGGCATGGAAGACAGGGAAGGGGCAGGAGACAACGCCTGGCATGGAGAGGGAATCCCCAAAGCCCCTCAGAATCAGAGCAGGAGGCAGCCCAGGCTGCAGCCCTGAGAAGGCAGAGGAGTGGGCACAGGGCAGGTGTTTAACTCGCTGTCAGGGAAATGTGGAGCCTCCAATCACAGCAAACGAGGCTTCCCACGCTGGAACACATCCCTGCACTGCCACGGGCACACGGGGCGGCTCCGCTCGCCACATGTGCCCCAAAACCACAGCACACCGGGCTCTGTAGGGCTCTTTATTGACAGTTCTGGGGAGAACAGTTCATTTCTTCTTCTCCACGTCCTGCTCTGCCGCTTCCTTGGCGCGCTTGGCGCGGATGCCGAAGAGGCGGGCGTTGGCCCGGGCCATGCGAAGGCTGGCAAAGGCCTTGAAGTTCTTCTCGTCTTCCGAGATGACACGCGCCTTCTCCCGCTTGAAAACCTGCGGAGAGAGCGCCAGACAGTCACAGGCTGCCCCTCGGAGCCGAGGCTTCCCACCACCATCCCTGCGAGGAACAGCGGGAACGGAGCGCTCGTGCCATCTACAGGCCCTGCCCTCAGCCTGCTCCGCCGGGATCTGCCTTCCCGCGGGCTCCTCAGTGCAGCAGCAATGAAAACAAGCACCACGGGAAACCTGAGTCAGGCTTTACAGAATCGCAGCATTGTTAAGCTTGGTAAAGACCTTTAATAGAGAGCCCAGCTGTCAGCCCAGCACCACCATGGTTACCACCAACCATGTCCTCAAGTGCCACATCCACGTGTTTTTTTGAGCACTTCCAAGGATGGGGACTCTGCCACTGCCCTGGGCAGCTGTGCCAGGGATGGACAGCCTGGTCAGTCAAGCAATTTTCCTAATATCCAACCTAAACCTCCCCTGGCACAGCTTGAGGTTGTTTCCTCTAATCCTGTCACTTGTCACCTGGGAGGAGAGCTTTACCCCCCTCCCAGCTTCAAAATCCTGTCATGGAGTTGTAGGAAATGACAAGAGGTTTGTGACACCAACTGACAGCAGCTCTGGGAAGCAGAGGATTTAGGCACAAATGGTGACCACAGACCCTGCCTGAGCACTCCAACCCCAGCTGAACCTAAAGCACCCTCAATTTCACAGTCCTCTCAAAGACTTATTCCTGGTTTTTTTTGATCCAGGATGGGCAATAGCTGGAGGCAGCCATCCCCAGCTGTGAGGCAGCAAGGAACGAATCCTCTCTGCAAGTCCAACCTCAATCACATCACACGCAGACCATGATTAAATGACACTTACGTTCTTGATGGGCATGACAGGTCCTGTGAGCTGAGTGGCCATCTTGAGTTCCTCTGGCTGCACAACAGAAGATGGGAATGTTAGAAGAACAGAATTTAAACTTCCCTGGCTAAAACCTCAGCTGAAGCACAGCAGGTACCAGCTCAAACACGGTGCTAATGATCCTGCCAGGAGCTGTAGCACCGAATGGAACAAAGCCAGCGTGTCAGAGCGTTTGGCACCGCTGAGCTGCACCAGCGACCCACGCTGTGCCCGGATCCGGCCAGAGCAGCAGCGGCCACAGCTCTGCCAGCTGGGACAGCTTTGACACCAACTGTGCTGCTCTCAATTCACACAGGATCACAGCATCATTTAGGTTGGAAAAGCCTCCATGATCATCCAGTCCAAGCTGTGCCCAATCCTCACCTTGTCCCCAGCCCAGAGCACTGAGTGCCACATCCATTCCTTCCTGGGACTCTCCAGGGATGGAGTCCAAACCTCCCTGGGCAACCCCTGCCAATGCCTGACCCCCCTTTCCAGGAAGAAATTCCTGATGTCCAACCTGAACCACCTTCCCTGGCACAAACTGAGGCCATTCTCTAAGCCTCCTTTTCTGCAAGCTGAGCCCCCACAGCTTATATACACCCAACACGTTCCTCAGCAACTCCTTCTCAGATTGATTCCAGCTTCTTGTAAGAGCATGTCATCAGACAAAAATGACTGAACGTTTACTGAATACAGCTGACTTCCAGTAAACACATCTGAATCAGTGTTTCAGCTCCAGGCTCTTCCTCCCTGCTCTGAAGATGGAGTTAAGCGGGTTGGAGCTGCCAGATTCTCCACAAGATGGGAGGACAGTCTGAACTCACCCTTGTGTTCCCTGGATCTACTGGCAGCAGACCCAGGGAACACAGCTCTGCTCTGATCCTGGAGAGGTTTTAATGAAAACCATTTTTGAATGTCAATAACAATCGCCTTCTGGAGCCTGGCTGGCACACAGCCCTGGAGCCACTCACAGCCTGTCCCTCAGCCCTCCACCAGCAGGACTGACTCCAAGGGGAATTTCCAGCCATTGTGACAATTTAGCTCTCTAAAGTAAAATTCAACTGGCTGAGCAAGGAGCAAAGCTCCAGGAATCAGCACCAAAACAAGCCAGCAGCTGTTCAGCCAAATGACTGAAGTGCCACTGCAACCCAGAATGCCCTGTTAAGACTCGACCCTGCCAGGCCTGGCCTTGTGCTGGGCTCAGGACCACGGGGCTCACACCATGGAAAAGGCTCAGGAGCTCTGCCTAACACCAAACCTCCCAGAACAGGACACGTTTCCAGCAGCTGGGTACTCACAGAGCTGTCTCCCTTCTTGGGCATGGCTGGCTTCCTCGGGAAGAGGATGAGCTTGGAGTGGTACTCCTTCAGCCTCTGCACGTTGGCCTGCAGGGACTCGGTGGACTTGTTCCGCCTCCGGGGATCCACGGAGATTCCGATAGTCCGGGCAAACTTCTTGTTGATGCCAGCGAGCTGAGGAGAGGGAAGGAGGGAGCAGTGTCAGCATCCCACAGCTCCCAACAGCCAGGCAGGGATCCCAGCACTGCCAGCACGGGATGCAAGCTCGGGAGGAAGGCTGGGCATCAGCTGAGGGACCAACTGTGCCGCCAACAAAGGGTGTCCTGGTGTATCTTTGTGCTTAAAATGTTGCTCAGGCTGATTTTTGCAGGTGGATCTCCCTAGAGCAGCAAAGTGCAACCCCTGCAGGACACATCTAAACTTGGATTCAGACAGATGTTTATGAGTCAGCTCGTGGACAACTCTGGTTCACTGAGCACTGGGAGCTCCATTAAATCAGGATTTTTTTCTAACCATCTGAAACAACCATTAACTAACTGTTTTTTTAGACTGCCTTAAACAAAAAACTAATTTTCTGTTTGAAGACAAACAGCTGCATCCTGCTTTGTGTTCCACCATTACCCAAAAATTAAAAAAAAAAAAGTAATGAAGTATTTGGCACCCAGAAGAACAATCTCCCTGCCTCAGTGCACCAATTTCAGTTATAAATGCTTTAATTAAGACACAGAACCAGGCGCAGAGGCAGCTGGTGCTGCCAGCGAGCCCTGATGTGGAATCTGATCACACAGACACAGCAGGGGGGTCTGCAGACCACCTTCACCAGCTCAGCACACCTGGGCAGGTCACAGGGACAAGGAACAGAGGACAGGAAACACTTCCCACTTTAATCCATCTATCTGGGCTTTAATCCAACTGTTATTACTCCAGCTACTCCGAGATGCTGTGCTGAATGTAGCATTTCCTCCTGCTACAACATCTCCTGCTACTCTTAGAACTAAACTGAGTTTACTTGGTCCTTAACTGGAAATACTGGCTAAAATATTTAGAGTTAGCAAAAAAATGTTTCATAAAGAAACAATTTAATGAAGACAATCTTAGTTTTCTCCCTCTCCCAAACGAATTTAGGAGACTCAAGGCTCTTTCAGAATTCAGGTTTCATAGAATCTCTGAATAGACTGGGTTGGAAAGGACAGTGAAGATCTCTAAGTTCCATCCCTTGCCATGAGCAGGGACACCTTCCCCTACCCCAAGCCCCATCCAACCTGGCCTTGGACACTTCCAGGGATAAGGCAGCCACAGCTGTCCTGGGCACCTTATGCCAGAGCCCCCCCCACCCTCACAGGGAAGAATTTCTTTCATATATCCAAATTAAATTTCCCTTATTTTAGCTATATTTTAACAAGATTTTAATTATAGTCTCAGTAGATAAACAGACATTTATCTTTCAAAGCACTCTTCACACACCCACTCCACCATCACAGCTAAGACCATCTTTCCTTGCTCCCAGAGCCAGGAAATCCACAGCCTTCCCTAGCAGGTACCAACACCTGAGCAAGTCACCCTGTGCAGGACAGGAGAAGCAGCTGAGCTCAGACTTTGACTCTTTGAATCGATGCTCTGTACTTACTTTAAGCTCCTCCAGGCTGAAGCCTCTGCCAGCACGGACCTTTTTGTGGTATCTGATGGTAGGGCACCTCACGATGGGCCGGATGGGCCCAGCCACGGGGCGGGGGGCGATGCGGCGAGCCTTGGCCTGGCGAGCCTTCCTCCTGGAATGGCAGGGTCACAGCAGCTTGGGAAAGGCCTCAGGTGATGGAGCCCAACCTGTGCCCGACCCCCACCTTATCAACCCAGCCCAGAGCACTGAGTGCTGCATGCAGCCCCTGCCAAGGCCTGACCACCCTTTCCAGGAAGAAATTCCCTGTGACATCCAACCTGAGCCTCCCCTGCACAAAATGGGGCTGCTCCCTCTCCTCCTGTCCTTGTTCCCTAGAGCCTGACCCCCTCCTCTCAGGCAGTTGTGGAAAGTTGTGGTCACCTTTCCTCCAGGCTGAGCCCCCCAGGTGCTCCTGGTGATCCAGACCCCTCCCAGCTCCACTCCCTTCTCTGGACATGCTCCTTAATGTCTGTCATACAATGAGGGGCCAAACATAACACTGGAGTTCCAGGTGTGATATCAACACCGGAACACGGGCAGCGGAGACACGGAACGGGGCCACGGGCAGCGGGGCCGCAGCCAGCCTCGCCCGGCAGCAGCCGCTCGATGCCCTCTTCCGTGCCCAGCACCTCCTGGGCGGGGCAGTGGGACAGACATTGGGCAGGGGCTGGGCTGGTCCCAAATCCTGAGAAATCCCCATCCAACCCCCGAGCAGGATCCCTGCTCCCTGCTGCCCTTCGGGGTAGCAGCATGATCTATTATAATCATATTCTAATGATAAATTATTATTATTATTATTGTTATTATATCTACATTATAATCATATTATTATGAGGCAGGGGAAGGATCAGGGACTTCCATGCCCCCGGCAGATCCCAGGTCCCACAGCAGTGGGATGCACAGCCTTTGCCCGGGAGCAGTGGCACAGCAGTGCTGGCAGCACCACAGAAGCCACCAAGGACCCTGCGCTGTCCCCTCCCCTGCACTGCTCTCACTGTCACCCTCAGCTCCACAGAACTGAACCCCCCTCCCCACAAAGGTTCTGAGTTAATAAAATCAAAGAAAACTTGAAATTTCATCTGCTGTGGGAAAAGGAAATTCAAAGAGTGAGACTGGGAAGAAACAAGTTTGGAATGGCAGCAGTGTCCAGAGTGTAGAAAATTACTTGTGTCCCTGAACTCAGGGGAAATCCCTGCCTAGGCACTGAGAGACCCCAGGGGCCGAGCTGGGACAGGGGAGAAGGCACTGTGCAGAACACCTTCCCATTCTCAGGGAAGCAGGAGGCTCCCAGCTCCAGCCTGACCCGGGATGGGAGCCTGGGACTGTGACAAAGGCTGGGAGCTGTCAGAGCCCAGGCTGGGCTGGGGTCTTTCAGGTCATAGACAGTCCTGGAGTAACTCCAGGCAATAATCCTTCCTAAAAGATGCAGCCAGCCAGGGCACTGCAGGCAGCAACAACCACTTTAATGCTTTCCCTGATGAACACCAGACAACCCTGGCAGCAGGGCCCCTTTGGCAACAGCCAAATGAAGGAGCTTTTCCTGTGCTCTCCCAACAAACACACCTGCTTTTGCTGGATTTCCAAGAGCACCTCCCCAGCTCAGAACATCTTCCCATGTGTGCTCAGAGTCACCCTCTGCACAGCTGGTTTCTATGTCCCACTGCTCAGCTCTTTTTGCCTCAACTTCTGCTTGGGAAAAACTTGCTGTAAAAACTGGACATAAATTATTGACTAGGGAGAAGGAGGCTCTTGTCCTGTACCACTCCAGAGCTCTGATGAGCTTCATGTGTGCCAAAACACCCCCGGAGCCTGACACATTGTACACACAGAGCAGCACGTTGTGGGCAGTTTATTCCAGCCAGGCCTGTTTGTGTGTTGTCCTCAAAGGTTACACAAGAGCTACAGCAGCCCAGCTCAGCCCCACAGGGGTGTCCCCATGCTGAGGACACAGCCCTGCCCTCCTGCCATGGCACACAGCACAGCCAGAAGTGGCTTACATGGGACTTTCCACCCACTGGAATACGTTCCCTGCTTCTTTGTACAAGAAACTTCCACAGCAGATCAGACTTACCCAACTCCTAATCACCACCACCCTGCTAGGAATCAATTCTGAAATCCTGAGGAGTTCTCCTTCCTGCAGGATACAGCTCAAAGAGCCAACACAGCCATCCCTTACATTTGGGGCAGCAGCAGCAGCACAGCAATTCCCTGCTCAGCACCTTTGATTGTGGAGCTGAGAGGGCAGAGGGTCTGTGTCCAAAAGAAGCCTCCAGAGCCCTCCCATTCCACATGGAGTGGGTTCACACTGGTCTCAGGCGTGGTTCCTCCTCCTCCTCGTGGCTTGGTGGCTGGGGAGGTGTTTCCTCCTCCCTGGTGTCCTGCTTGTCCCTCTCAGCCTGCAGCCAGCTCTGAGGAGCAATCATCTTCTTGGGCCCGTGGGGAGGGGGCCCGATCAGCGCTTCGATGTCGTCGTAATTGATCACTTCCTTCTCCAGGAGGGCACTGGACAGCTGCAAAAGGGGAAGGAGGCAAAATGAGGGATGGAGCCCCTGGAGAGAGCAGAGAACTGCGTCTCTGAGCTGGTCTGAACTGTCAGCTTGAGTGAGGCCTCAGCACCTGCAGCCCCCCAGGAGCAGAGCTGGCTGTGCCACCACAGATGGGGTGACCCTGAAGCTACCAGAGCCAGGACCAAATTCTCCAGGCTGCAGCACCATTCCCAAGAGCACATTGGGCCAGGAATACACAATGTGACTGCAGGCAACAAAGCAAGCTCTTGGGAATGATTTGCAATGAGAGCTCCAGGAACAACGAGAGAAGTGTCCCTCCTGCCACTGTCACTGCACCTGCGGCCCTGCCCAAGAGCCAAAGCAGCAGCATGGAGACCTCTGGCAGACCCAGAGCCTTCCCTGCACACACTGTGCTAACAAAGAGCTGCCTGTTCCTGCAGGCAGGGGCTGGAGGTCAGCACAAGTTCCTCTCCAGAAGAGTGGAATTCTCTGGCCCCTCTGGCAGCAGCACCACCCCTCTGGAGCAGCAGGTGGCTGTCCAGAGTGGAACTGCTCGATCCTGCTGACGAGATGTGACACGCTGGCCTGGCAACCGACACACTGACTCTGGAGATACTTTGGCTGCACTTGAAAGTTCTTCTGTGCTGAGCCTCTAGCAAACATCTGGCTGCTGTTACATGGCAGCAGCAGGACAGAGGAGCCTGCAGAGACACCCCTGAGGATGCCTGCTCCAGAGCTGCCAGGGCACTGTCCTGGGGACAGCAGCGTGTCCCAGCTCTCTCCTTAACACGCACTGGAGGCCTGACACTGCGTAGCTGAAGGGGTTGTTGTTGTTGTTTTTGTTCTTGTTTGGTTAAAAAGAGGATTTAAGGAAAATAATTGCTTGATTTGCAAAACAGGCAACATTAAATTGACCCCTGGTCATTTAGGACAGGAATTCTGAAGGGAAGTCAAGGAGATGCAGAGGGTGCTGTGACCCAAGCTGGGCTCAGCACCGGGCACAGAGCTCCTGGCACGGGGGGGATGTGCCAGGGTGTGCAGCTGGATCGGGACTGCCAGGACACAAAGGAGAGGAGGCAAAGCTCTGTCTCTGCAACATGGATTCTTTGGTACATCAGCCATTAAGGAGGCGAAAACTGCCTGGGGCAGGAACCAGCCCCCATCAGCCAAGGCATCATATCCCTGCACCAAAGCCAGACACTGTCCACCTGATTACTGGCTTGGCTTCCCAAAAACAGTCACTGTTAGCTCTCCAGAAAATTGCACTGCCAAGAGGCAAGCAGAGAAGTGCAGGTGAAGGACACAAATTCCAGCTTTGATCATTTCCACAGAGCACTCCTCCTCCTCTATCTACCCTGCAAACACCAGCTGGTGTGAGGAGGCAGACTACTCACTGCTGGGAAAGGCACACACATTCCTCCCGTGCCTGCTCTGAATCTGGGGGATACACAGTAAACAGTCACTCGTTCCCAACACTCCCACTACAAGACTTTCTAGGAGAGAGACAACACTGCAACAGCTGAGCTACAGAGCACAGAAAGCAGCAAAACCACCAGTTAAAAACACCCAAACCAACCAACAAACCCCCACACAATTCAGCTCACTGTTTGCAGCTTGTCCCGGTTCTCCAGCAAGAGCTTTTCTGTGCGCCTGTAAGCCTGAGCCACCAGGATTTTGGCTTCCTTGAAGAAACAAGAAGAGGGAGCTGGGGTGTAGGTGGCAACAAACACAATGTGTGGCTAAACAAGGAGAGCACTGAGGGATGGAATCTGCAAACTGAGCCAGGCAGAATGTGGTCCCCATCAACAGAAACTATGGATAAACTGGTTGGAAAAAGGCCCAGGGAGTGCTGGTGATAAGGGGCAGTGAAGTCTTGCCCTAGCACAGCTTGATGGGAAATGCAGATTAAGGCTGTCCAGGAGCTAAAGGTGCTGCTCAACACAAATCCCAAGGAAGCACAGCCATGGTGCTTCTGAAATAGAGCTTTTTTTGTTTCCAGCTTTTTGACTTTTGAACTAAAGGAATGTGTTTTTTCAGCCATGAAGCCAAATTTCCGATCAAAACAGGCTGATTTGCAGTCAGTCTGACCATCAGCTTGGTTAGATCTGATCTAGGAAGTGCACACATCTACACTGTGCAGCTGTGACTTTAAGACACAGATTTCTTGCCATCTCAGCCCTGCACAGCACAGGCTGCTGGGCTGAACTCACAGCCAGGTGGGATTCTGCCTGTCCCTGCTGCCTCACCGCACAGCCCTGACACAGGGAACAGCTAAGTGCTCACTCACTGGCCAACAGCAAAATGCAAATTGTTTGGGTGTAAACCACTTGTCATTTTTCAGTGAAGTGCAGAAAGCAAAGAACAAAGAGAAGCCCTTGGCCCACGTGGCCTTACGTGGTCCATCATTTGCAGCAGGCCCTGGCTGAAGGGGCGCCGGCCGATGCCAGGGGCGCTCTCCGGGTCTGGGAAGGAGATCTGCCCGATGCTGGGCACCATCCCGTACTGCTTCACCATGGCATAGGCAATCTTGGTCACCTTCTTCAGGTCATCCTGTGCTCCTGGGCAGGAAAAACACACACACTGCTGGCCAGCTCTCAGCTCAGTGCAGGAAGAGCACATCCTACACAAACACATGTCCTACCAGTGCTGAGAGCAGAGGATCCAGTGCAGCCCACAGGGGAGAACACTCAACCCACTGAGGG